CTCGAATAGCACAGATGGGGGGGCAGGGCTCGAGTGAAATACATGTACCAGGGAGATAGCAGACGGATTCTACGGGAGACTTTGATAGGACCCAGGCAAGGACTACGTAACAATATGACACACTCTGGTCAACATTCCCATCACAAGGGCGAAGGGGGTGATAACGACAGTGTGGAGTATGAATGGTTTTCATGAATGCCGCTCGAAGGGACACACAACAGTACATCGAAATAAAATTGTGACAAGGAAGACGTGATAGGAGGATATGGGAAATGTGAATAGCCCAGGGCAGAATCGGAGATACCACAATTGTTTAGCACACATTTGGTCAAAGGATGGGTTTCACTTGTCTCTTTGACGAGTTGTAATATGGTGCTGCGAATGCAGAGACTCAGTGACGACGCGGAATGCGATGCCAGAGAAACGTCTGAGAATGTACCACGTCCACGGTCCTACTCTGGACTCCGGACAAGGTGCTGTCCTCTAAGTCTTCCTACCAACATGACCAAGTTGCGAAAACAAGGTCAAACAACTTCTATGCAACGAAAGGAGACTGCGACCACACAAAAGGCCACACCATCTTGGTCTTCATACTTTCGTTTAAGAATTAAACTTGAGGCTGAATAGATCGCTTAAGATTATGAATTCGCCCTAATTTTATCAGCTGTCCATTATCGTGTGAGTAAAGTTTCGACATGTTACTTCTACGGGTAGCATCAGTCACTTCGAGTGACCAATCCATCAGCCGTCTAAATCGAGATCGTGAATTAGTCGAAATTGGTGTTTTGGGCCGGACAAATAGATTGAAGTTGCTCTAATGCTGGCCTCATCTCATATTTATGCGGTGCTTACGTCTTCGAATGGATGCTGGACTAAGAGGTGAGTGGAAAAGAGGAGGCAGACGGTGTTGCTTTCAACGCGTTTTAGTTGCCAATTCAGACGTGTTTTATGCATCGAATTATCTTCAATTGCATAAAGTAGCAGAGTTTTATCCCTCTGGACTGACTGTAAACGCTTACAAAAGACATATGATGCTATAAAAGGACAGTTGATTGGGCATTCGGATCTCTTAAATGATAGAAGGGGCGACATTTTCCATCTCCAGGTGAACCACTTGTTGTCGGGCGGAATGGATCGGAAAACTGAAGCTATTAGCCCGAGACAGATGGTAACTGGGATGAAGATAAGGCGAAAAAGAAGGGGAGGTCTGTGTTTGTCTTCGGAGACAAATTAGAACCATATAAATGTAGACAAATGACAGTGTAGATTATGATGTGAAGGTAGGAGGGGAAAAGAGGGCGCGAAAGTGATAAAAGGTAAAGTTGAGAAGAGGTAAGAGAGAGAGAATGAGTGGTAGCAGTAAGGGATGGAGGAGAGAAAGTAAAAGTAGATAAAGGGGGAGAAAGAGAAGGGGAGAAAGAGAAAGAAGATGAGTGAAATGTGTGGGTTGAGAAAGATAAAGTGAAACGAAAGTGAGATCATGTGGAGGAAGAGTAAGAGAAAGTGAGAGAAATGGTGAGTAAAATGAGAGGGAATTTGAAGATTATGTGTACGAATAGTAGGAAAGTTCGGGAAGGAGGAAAAGTGAGGATGTTACGATGGTGATTAATATGAGGATAAGTATAATACTGATGTTTTTCACGTTTGTTTGATGGCATCTAACATGCTCATCTTAGCGCCTATGCCTGTCGGCAGGACATGCATAATGTGCATGGCTGCAATTAATGAGGCGAATTCCAACTGTACTTTGGCAGGCTACTCCTTCACTTCTGGCAGCTGTTGTGACGCCAGACATTTTATCACCTTTTAACACAGACCCCGCCACTCGGACCCAGTCGAAATCACACTCGACTCGACTTGCTCAACTACTCATCTTCCCCTCCACATGCTGCACACCCGCCCCCGCCAAGTGCTGCCCACCTCTCTCTGGCCAATTTCCCCAGCTTCGTATGACAAATGTATGCCAAACAGACCAATCTGCCTTTTCGTGTTCTACAGTCAGTCCGTCCGTCAGTCGACTTTGGTCATTTGCAGACAGCCCCAAACGGCTTACAGTTGCCCCGCAAGTAATTACCTTTACAACCCAATTTTCCCTTTTCATCAACACCAAACAGTCTCATGCTGGGCGCTAGCAGTTTTCGCGCTTCACCAGGAGCACACCCTTTTTTTCCCCTTTCTCCCCTCCACCCCACCTCCCCGTCCACACCCTAGGGCCCGTCTGGTGCCACAACTCGCCCAAGCACACGATATCAACCCGAGCCCCGGTCGACCCTCCCGCTGCCGCGACCTCTGCTGGCCCGGCCTCGAGTCCCGCATG